TCAACACTATAAAGTGGATTCCTCCATCCTCTTCAGTCCTAAGATGAGAGAGCAGTCAACACTGATTTTCGCAGCGTGGATAACAGAGAATATTGCCTCTAAGCACAGAGGATGATAATTACTGCTATGCTCCACTTCAAAGAAATATCACATAGGATGAAAGTGGACTGTGAAAGATAGGTGGAAATTTCAGGGAGGAATCCTTTTACATCTGCACTGCTAATAATAATATTAATAATAATATTCCTTGCATTTCATATAGCGCCTTACCACGTCTTCGAGACGTCTCAAAACGCTTTACAGAATATACTCTAAAGTGAATTGACTGTATATTTTCTGGGTGAAACAGGGCAGCCAATTGTACACAGCGGTGTCGCACAAACCGTTGTGGATTGAGCGACAACATTTTTTATTTTTTTTACCAGATTATTAAAACCTGAAAAGCGATCCACCAATCGACTAACAACCAGGATCCTAATTACTGATGGGTAAACAGAGGCGTGTGGAGTATGGAAACTTGAAAAGAAAACTTAAGGAAATGCCCAATATTTCGCCCGGCTGGAAATTAAAACCCGGGTCGCTTGCTAGGCGAGTGCTGTAATCACTATGCTACAGGACTCCGCAATGTGTTCTGTAGAACCACCTTGGTTGCCATAAACACTGACGTGACTCATTGGCACATTGTTCCATTTCATCCTTTTTTTTTGTGATTTGTGTTATGATTGCCAACACTCCCAACCAGGTGCAAGAGGAGAGAAACAGTAAAGGCAATAAATTAATCAGTTTTTTATCAAAACAGTCTTCTGTCTCTATTATTACTTGTGATGTGCGGTTAGGAGTCTGATTTCTGTTCAACGACAGAACACTTTTGTTAAGTTTTGAATTTTATCTCTTTCTATGAGAGATAAAGACACCTTTTAAGCACAAATTTGAGATGACTTTTTTTTTAGTGGTCAACCCAGACCCAAATGCAGTGTTTCCTTCATCACCCAAAGACTTTTCTTCATCACCTGTCTTTACTGATCATCATGTGGCTGTACGTATCATCAAAGCTTTGTTATGACCTTGCTTTGATGGCAAACGTTCATGGAAAATGTCATTCTATTTGCTATTTTTGCTTAAGATTTTTAGTTTGCATTGATGTCCTGTAATTCTCCATCGTTTGTGTTAATTTAAATCTATTAATTTAATCTCAATCATTTTGCTCCATTTCTATAAGTCTTCTCTGAGGTAGAAGCATACACAATACTGTATTCTAAATGTGGCATTATCATTGAGGTATAAAGAGTTAAAATAAACAATTTGGGTTTGTAATTAGATTCAGTCATTGAATGTTTCCAGCACAGAAGGAGGCCATTCAGCCCATTGTGTCTGTGCTGTTGCCATTTCCCCACTGAAAGTGTCTACTTTAATCCCATTCCACTGCTCTTTCCAACCCCCTTTTGATTATGGTTAAAGATTTGGATGCAAAGCAATTTGTGGCAGGGAATTCTCATGTCCCCATCTTTTCCTTCTAGTGTCAATCCTTAATCAATGCCTCTCGTTATTGACTTTCCAGTCAGTGAACATATCTTTCTCCAGTTACCTTATCAAAACCATTCATCATTTTGAAAACCTCTAAAACAGGTTCCTAGCCCTTCCTAGGTCACTGAAAACAACACCATCTTTTCAAATCTTCTCTCCATGTAACTATAAACCTCTGCTGTGATTTTCTCTCAATGTGCAATACTTGATTACTCTCACTGAAAAGCCTTTCATTGACTGGATATTTTGAGTGAATAGTCAATAATATCACACAAATCCTTTTTATTTTGCATTAGCACTTTGGGCGCCTATTGGTTTGTCTTCACTGTCTCAATGTAAATTGCCATTCATTAGATTTCATCGACTATTCCATGGCCCAATCCATTCAATTTATCCAGATGCCTTTAATTGCTGCCAGTTTTCCCTGCACTGTTTCTGTCTGTATCCAGATGCAAACTGGTACTGATGGATGCAATGGGGACCAGCTTGTTTCCCTGTCATTGTAATTGTCGTAGAGAGACCTGAAGATGTGAGGAAATAGTGCAATGTATGTATGAATAATTTACCATCTTGTTTGCTTTCTTCTTATCTTTAACCACTACGCAAGTGGTCAATAACCAAATCTAATGGAAGGTGCATTTGAGGTTAATGCAACAACCAGTGATCTGTAATTAAATGGTTAGATTACTACTGCAGTGCATTTAAGGATTATCCAGCCAATGTATTGTATTTGGACAAATTCCCATTGTACACATATTGTGAATTAAGCACAGCTTGTGAACACGATTGTCTGTTTACTTCTTCTCACGTGAGATTTGATATAGTATTTCTGCAAATTTGCTCTGCCACAGACAAAATGACCATTTCCATGAGTTGTCGGATGCTTCATTGAAAAATTACCTGTTATTAAAATATTATTAATGTGGTTCACAGCTAAACAGCATACTCCATATCTTCATTTATCCACCAAAACTAGTAACATATTAACAGAAGCAATTTGGCATTTACAAAAACTACTTTTCATTGGGTTATCTATTCAGTTATTTATTAGTTTGCTTTGTCTCCACTTCTTTCTTTCTCTTTATCAGTATCTATTTAATTTGGTTTTAGGATGTTTATCATGTGCTGTACAGGTCTGATATTTTTGCTTTGTTACCTTTAATGGCCATCCTTATTGGAGTAAATAATAATAAATCTTGCGTTTGGTATAGCATCTTATCATGTCAGCGAGATATTTTGAAGTACTTTCACAGGATATACTGTAAAGTGGATCGACTGTGTATTTAGTGGGCAAAACTGGATTGTTTACAGGAGTCAGCATTCTGGAAAGTATCTTTACTGTGTACACTCAAAACAATGAGGGCTAATAACCTTAAGTACGGTGTTTATATTATTGTAACCACGCCTGACATTTTGTCATGGTCGTGACAGCAGGACCCTGACAAGTGCAAGTGCGTCAAATGCAGCGATGGGAAAAATAAACTCCGGGAGAAATGAAGACCTTTCGGTTCCGTTTGGATATCACCAAACCACAGCAGCTCAACTCTCTCGCAAACGAACCACTTCAAAGCTATCGCTCGCAACTCTGACTCGCCGCCACATCTTCGCTCTTGCACATCCGCCCAACTTCTCACGCAGCGGGCAGTTTCGCGTCCAACTGCGCTCCTTCCTCCCAGCCGCCCTTATTGTCATTATTATTATTATTAATAATAATAAATATTGCCATTATCTTAACAAAGGAACCTCGGCGTTGAGAGAGAGAGAGAGAGAGAGAGAGAGGGAGGGGGGTGCGGGGGGGGGCACGCGCTGGGGAGGGTGGAGGTCGGTGGGAATATTAGGGTCACTTGTGTGCACGCACGCACATCTCGACCTGAGCACACAGAGCGATGGTTGGGGGTGACGCGTGCGCTCGCGCACTGTTCGATGGAGTTACGCGCAATGGCTGAGCTGATAATAATAATAATAATAATAATAATAACAATAATATAACAATCCTTGCATTTGATAAGAGGCGCCTGATCGTGTGCCCCTTGACACGGCTCGAAGCGCTTCGCCGAAGCGCACCGCGAAGCGCGTTGGCTGCGCCCCAGGAGCGTCCCGCGGAGCTGCGCGCGGGTCGCATAACGCCGTCGGCGGCCGCGCTTAACGCCCCCCACGCACCGCGACCGCCGTCGGGGGCCGCGCTTCGCAACGACGTCCCGCGAAGCCCTTCGGGAGGTCTGGACCGACCCGCACGGCGAGGCAGGCGCTCGCTCTGCAACAAATGCAAGGATTAGCATTATTATTATTATTATCATCAACGTAATAACGTAGGTGTGGAATTATTATTATAGTGTTAGTTATTAATATTTATTATAACACGGTGTGGAATAAGGACACTGGCCCGGGTGGGTGGGATTCGAACTCCAGTCGCTGACACCAGCTTGCGAGGCGAGCGCGCTAACCACTACGCCACCGAGACGCCTGAGCGGAGCCGCGGTGGCAGAGACGGGTGTCATTCGTGACCGGGGAAGGGGGGGGGACCACCACAGCCGCTCAGCGCCGCGCTGTCGACTGCGCCGCGCCGCACTGCGGCTGCGCGGCACCTCCTCCCAGCGCCCCGCCTCCTTCTCCTCCTCCTCCTCGCGGCCGTTTGAATGGGATAAGGGTCGCGGCGGCTCGAGCGGCCGTTACCAGACGTCGCGAGGCAGCTGCTGAGGAGAGCCGAGCCGAGCGCGGGCCGCTGCCGCTCCTCCTCCGGCGGGTAGAGGGACGCCGGTTGGGGCTCGGTCCTTCACCCCCTCAACCCCCTTCCCCGTCATTGTTTACCCCCATTTCTCCTCACCCCCTTCTCTCTCCCTCACTCTCCCCTCACCCCGCCGCCCCCCACCCCCTCCCCCCCCCCTCCTCAATGGAGGCCGCCGAGGGGCCTCTCGCTAAGCCGGGGGCTGAGGTGAAGGGGGACCCGGCGGCGGCGGCGGGTGATGAGGGTCCCGGTGCCGGCGCGGAGGAGAGCCCGGAGCCTGAAGTTCGGATGAGGAGGAGGAGGCGGAGGAGGGAAACTCGGAGCGAAGGCCCCGGGCCGGACCCCGGCCTCTCCTGCCCGCCTTCCTCCTCCGACGGCGAGGTGACGGTCGGCCAGAGGTTCGCCCGGCGCGACCTGCCGTTAGGGGAGTCGCCTCAGGCGCCGCCGCCGCCGACGACGACGACGATGGGAGCCGCCGGCGAGGAGGAGGAGGAGGAGGAGGGGGGGAAGGGGAAGACGGTGGCCTCCCGGGCTCTGGCTCGGGGGGAAGTTTGCTCCAGCACCGAGAGCAGCCGAGGCGGCCAGAAAGGCAGCGCCACCGAGAGCGTGAGCGCCGACGAGGAGAGGGAGGGCAGAGCGAGCGAGTGCCCGTCCGCCCGAGGAGGAGGAGGAGGGGAGCGGCCGCAGCCACAGCCGCCGCCGCCACCGCCGCCACAGCCTCTGCCTCCTCCTCCCGCTCCTCCCGCTCCTCCCGCCTCGCTTCCCGACTCCTCCAAGGACATGGCCAAGTCCAAGAGCGAGGAGAACGAGGAAGAGGCCGAGATGAAAGCCGTGGCCACCTCCTCGGACGGCAGGTTCCTCAAGTTCGACGTCGAGCTGGGCAGGGGCTCCTTCAAGACCGTCTACAAGGGTCTGGACACCGAGACTTGGCTGGAGGTGGCCTGGTGTGAGCTGCAGGTAAACCGTCTCCATCATCATCGCCATCACCATCAATCATCATCATCATAATATTATCTAATCTATAATCTATCATAATATTATCCGATGTGATCCAACAGCCTCTGGTGATCAATTGCTAATCGTTCGCGATCGATTTGTTGCCCCACTCACCTCACTCCCCGCACGTTTTTTTTTTGCGGGGGTGGTGGGGGGGGAGTGGGGGGGTCCTTCTCCCCCGAAAAACCGACCCGCCCGCTTCTTCGTTCCAACGTCTCAACCCAAACGCCTCGGAGCGCTTCGCAGGATAATATTGTGAAGTGACTGGTGTGTGTGTGTGTGTGTGCGAGTGTGTGTGTGTTCTGTGGGTGAAAACGTGAGGGTTTTGTGCTTCCGTGGGGGGGGGGGTTGTTTGTTTGTTGCCCGAGATTGGAATTGGGATACACGCCATTCAATTCGATTTGGGCCGATCAATACATAGCGTTGTGTGTGTGTGTGTATATCCAGTATATATATATATATAATATATAAGTGGGAAGTGGGCAATGTCTGTAGGTCTACCCGAGTGGTAATTGCGTTACACATGATTCCCAAGTACACATATGGCTCAAAGTGCTCTGTAATCAGTGCCCGATTCATTGTCTTGCTATACATTAATATTATAATAATTATTATAATAAATACGCCTGCAGCTGAGACCACGAAAGGGATATCCTTATTCTATTGCCCCAGACCTCGTCTGACCCTTTTGCGTTGAAGAAAACATTTGCTGTCAGTGCTTAAGGCTGTCGGGAATGCCCGTGCCATTCACTATCTGTAAGAAATAATGCCTCTTGCTTTGGTGAAAATTGCTGAGCAATATTCTACCGAGACTGAGGTCAGGCAGGTTCCTCTTGACGCAAGCTGCCGGCGTAACACTCTTGTCAAGCGAGCTTTTTACCTGCGAAAATGCGCAGAGCCCGAGTGGGATGCAACGGGGGCTGTGTATATTTTCGCGTCGGTTCGTGCAAAAACATTCCAGCCCTTGACACACCAATCAAGCAGTGCGTTCGTTGACCCCGAGTGCATCTTATCAACTCCTTGGAATGACTATTTATTGATGTTTGTGTGTGTGTGTGTGTGTGAGCGAGAGAGAGAGAGAGAGAGAGATATCTGGGAACCAAATGGTGCGGGTTTGACGTTCTGCATCACCTAATCGGAGGTTCAGATTGTGTTTGAGAGTTGGAGAGCCCCCTGACTCGCCTGCATCTGAATAATTAAATCGAAGTTCAAAGCTATCGACAGACGTGCGTACACATTGACGTTTTAGCTTTACACTTTTGCCGAAGCTATTGCGCATTGGAGACTCTGCGCCTGTACAGCACAGTCCCCTGTTCTCGCCGCTGGTATTTTTACACGCAAAGTGTGCCCCAGGCGGCTCAGCGACGCTTACTGTGGGTATTAATTAATTGCTTCTTGATGAATTGTCCTTTCCCAACCTCTGTGGCCTGGAACAAGAATGACACGATTACTATGGTTATGGATCCCATTTTTTTTTTCATGGCAAAGGCATCATTGTACTCCCATCTCTGCAATGTTTAATTTCAGCCTGCAGTTAGTTTCTAAACAGCAGCAACAATTTACATTTATACAGCGCCTTTCACGTCAGGAGGCCAAGACGTCTCAGAATTACATGGTTGGTCCTAAACTCGGAGCACTGCAATATTAATGAGCATAATTAGGTTGTGTGAAGTGTTTTGCAGAACATCAATTTACTCGTGATGATTTAGTACCATTTATAATCCACTACTTTAGCAAGCAATACATTACCGCTCTGCTTGTTTTTCAGGTATCAGCCTGGCTCAGTTGATAGCAATCTCGCCTGTCAGGTCTTTAAACTCACAGTCTAGGCTGACGCACCAATGCAATGTTGGGAAGCTCTATTATATTGGAATTGCCGTCCTTCGGATGAGACGTTAAACCAAGGTCCCGTTTGTGTCTCTTGAGGTGGTCGTTAAGGAACCTACTTTCTGAAAAGAGATGGAAATTTCTCCCCTTGTTCTAGCTAACTGTCCCCCAGATGAAATTGGTCACTGCCTTCATGATTGTTTCTGCGACCTTGCTGCGCTTAAATTGACGGCCACGCTTACGTACAAAATGCAGGAAATTCTGTGAAGGGTTTTGAGCCGTTCTCCTGAAGTGAAAGGTGCTAAAATACAAAGATTATTATTTTTAATTAAGTTTACAGAAAATGACCTTCAGTCTATTTAGATTTAGAAATAGTCTGTAGTGAATATGAAAATAGGTAGTTTTTTTGTGATGAGATGTTTCTGATGTTATAGTAAGTTTAGAGGATGTAACTAATCTAGCGGCTAACCTAATATATTCAATACGTTGTGAATTGATTGAGCATTATTATGTTGTGGAGAGAGTGTCCTTTGCCATAAACATTAATTATTTGAAACATTTTGAGTGACAGGAATTTTTTTTTGATCAATGAACTTGAAATCAGTTGTTATCTGTGGCACATAATGGAGTTCCAGATGAATCTATAGATTCTACATTTCATAAATATTACTCATCTTAGTCTGTAGAGCTCACATTCCCAACAGTACTCAATTTTACAGTGTGAATATTAATTGGTTTTACCTGGTAGGAAAGATGCAAATTCAACTGTTTGAATGCTCACTTATCACATCATGGCCTTTGCCGTTTCTAGCATGAACTGGAGACCAACTAGACATTTGTGTCTCATGTGAATGTTTAAATTCTAAAGGGAAAGATAGAACTCTACCTTCTCAATGTGATCTGTTTGGTCTCCTTCCTGCAGCTGCTCAGAGCTGTAGAGTTTTATATAAACCATAAATGTAGGTTAAATGGGAGTTACAGTAAGAAGATGGAGCGTTGAATTTTCAACAAAAGACATTAGTACAGATGTCAAACTGGTTGGTCAGACATTTCCTGAAGAGTACAGTGCTCAGTAACTAGCTGCCGCGGTGGTGGATCTTAAAGGAAGAAGGAGTGGGGGGGGCACTAATGAGATCAGTCTCGTCCTTTTACAGTTATTTGTATCTCTTGGCCCTCTCTGTTTGCATCTTCAAAACTGTTGCTTAGTCACAACTTGAAAACTGACGTGATGTGTACACCTGCCTCCTTCATTCAAATTGCACCGCGTATAATTGCAGCACTCGCAATGCTTTTTTTGTTTCTGAGCGAATGATCAAGGTGCAGTATTGGCAAGAGCTTCTAGAAAAAGCTTTGACTGTAAACTGAAGAGGGGCTCTTTACAGTAATCATCACTTTGGAGACAGCTCGAGCTACACCAGCAACCCTTTGGTTCCTGCAGATAATGAACAGGGAGAGGGAAAGAATGGCTGTAGGTCGAGCTCACTGTTTACCAGCTAGTCAGAATTGTATAGTAATGGAAAACAATTTCTTTTAACATACCGTCTTGTAACCTATATTCCACAGAGTATCTCATTCATAATGCTATCTCGAATCATTTACAATCGGTTGTTACTTCAAATGACTCGTAGTAATTTTTTTAACAATTGTGCAGTTTAAAAAAAATTCAGCAGAAAATTACCTCCCGGAGGAAATAAAATGACACCATTCTGGACCTAATGGATATGGGCTGATGTGCAATTGTGGTTTGAATAATCAAGGGTCCGATATGCCTGTAATTTACTAGCTAATAAATTGCTCAATGTCTAGTAAAACCTATTTGCTCACAGCGATGGTTGGATTGGAAACTGAATCATTCTTGGCAGACCAATTTTGACGAACCAATATTTGCCAAGTGAAAGGACTTTATAGCTTCCAACTCTGGGGACGGAGACTGTACATGTTTCCCGGAAAGTGATCATGTCTACTAAACCTACATTTAAGATGGGTTTGATACATACAATTAGAATACATCTACTTGTATAATTTGGCAAAGTGAAGATTTTTTTCATGGTGAAATGCAACCGCAACAACTTGCATTTATATAGTGCCCTTCAGTTTGAGTAGAAAGATTGCACAAGATGCATGTGGGGAAAATTGAATACACACTGAAACTCTTCTTGATGTTTGATTTCAATTGGACAACTATTCCAATTTATTTTGTTGACTTAAGCTATTATTAATAATGTAAGCACTCTGATACGCTGCCATGTGTGGAGGGGGCTATACAAATGCAAATTGTTGTTGTAATCGAATATCAGAATTTTTTTTATGTTGATACACCCAACAATTGAAAGTGATGTGGTATCAAATTCGCTCTCAGGGTATGTTTTTTACTGTCTTAATGGCTATTTGATGAAACTTATTTGGTGAAATAATTCTAAGTATATTTTACAGTTTTTGTGTTTTTGCACAAACTACCTGAATTTTTTAGGGGGGAATTAAAAGCTGCAATACGTGAGGCACAATTAATGACCAATTAAATAAAACAATACTGGGTATTGGAATCTTACTTACTTACTTCATTGACCAGTCTATAAAAGCAGCTTTTGTCCATGGAAATGGCTTTGTCATTATCTTGAAGAACAGTTACTCTTGTTTGTCACTATCTTTTGACAAAGGGGAGCATGTGTATGTGTGCTGATCTTGTTGAGTGTATTTGTACAAAGCATTTGAAGGGAAGAAGGATAAATCTTAAATAACGCAATTGAGGACATTTGCCCACAGTTTGGCCCCAAATTTTCTGTTATTGCCGTATCTTGCATCCTTTCAAGATTAATAATTAGATGGTGGTTCTGTGTGGATGACTAGTGTATTGTGGAACATTGTCCAGGAAAACGATTTAAAACATCTTGTTTGTCCAAATGTAATGGTTTATATATTTTCCTTTTACTGATGTCTTAACAAGTTCTTTCTTGCCACCTATTCTATTTAGCCTTATCTAAGTATTGAAGGTTGTAGGTAGTAGCCAAGATATCGGATTGTGTTAAGATACTGCTTGTTGCAGACAATTGATAATTTTGTCCACCTGCATCAACAACCAACACTGTCATACTTCGAAGAATAATATTGCAGTTAGTACTTCACTTTGAAGTGTG